CTAAAATATATATATATATATATATATATATATATATACATACATACATACTTATATAATCAATGTTTTTCACCTTTATAAAATGCTCCAATATTATTATGTATTTTAGGGAGCTTCATAATAACCAGAGAGGTGGTGATTATTTTATTTACTTTACAAGAAAATAAAGGAAGGATAAGAAAAATAAACTTATTAGTACAAAGTCAAGAAGTGAGTTAGTGGCTGAGTTAGAATCAAATACTAACTATCCTGCCCTCAAAGACTCTTCAATCATACTTTTCTAGGAGCCTAGAAAATAGTATCAGTACTCTAAAAAGCTAGTGCCACACAGTGCTGAGAAGGGTACAGGTAGTATGAATAAAACTTTTTTAAATGGAATAGCTCTTTAACAAACCTGAGATGCCAATAAAAAGATAGATGGGGAAGAAAAATCATTTTTCTATCTATACAGAGTGCCCACCTTACACAAAAGCCTCTACTTAAATTGAAAATCATTCAAGCCAGCTATTTCCAGATTTGGATACCAAGTAGATCTGAGTTGGGGACATGAACAATGTCCCAAGAAATGTGGATGCTGCTGATCTAGGGACCACACAAAACATTTTCTCGGGTTGTGAATGGCTTGTTTGGGTGTTTGTTTGGTTGTTGTTGTCTGGTTTGTTTTTTTAAACAGGATCTCATGTACCACAAGGTGGCCTCAAATTCTCCATGTAGCCAAATATTGCCTTGAATTTCTGATGATCCTGCTTTGACCTCTTTCCTGGGATCTGGGAGTACAGGCTTGTTTGTATTACCACACTCAGGTTCAGATTATCTTTAAAACCATTAAAATGATTAGAAAGGTAAAACGAAAAAAAAAAATCTTAGGTACAGAGCTAGACACATATGTGAAAGACCTTTTTAAGTAAGTTATAGATGAAATATGGCAAGTAAGATTAGTAAACATACAGATGACCCAGGTTCCCAGACACAAATAGCCATCATTTTTAAGGTAACAGTTTTCCCAGCTTGATCTATAGATTCACTGTCATCCCAACGAAAATGTTAGCAACTTACTTTGGGGACACTAGCAAACTTACTCTAAAGTTTATACCTTATGTCAAGGCTTTTTGAAAAGTTATAATAATGTATAAAATGTGGAAATCAAGTAAAAGGTAAAAGAATTTATCCATGAAACAGAAATAGAAGAAACAAAAAGGAAGTGTTTGCATTGTAAAACAATAATCTTAAGAAATGATGCATGAGGGAAAGCCCACAAGGCCTCAGTCCTAAACAAACAACTATAGGTAATTAATGAATGCTGAGAACTGAAGAAATAGTCTTCTGCAAACCAACTGGTATCAAATGGTCAGCCATGAAAACATACATAGGAGTAACAATAAATAAACTTAGCCAGCTGTATTTAGGTATCTACATATACATAAATGCATTTTAAAATGCATTTAAAGGAATGAGGGAAATACGGAAGGGTTTGAAGGGATAAAAGGAAGGGAGAAATGTAATTATTATTTCATTTTTTTTTAATTTTTGTAAAAAGTAAGTCTAAGCAAGTCATGAGGGGCAAGGCAGTCGACAGAACTCTTCCATGACCTCTATATCAGCTCCTGACTCCATTAGCTCACCTGGTTTGAGTTTCTGCCTTGGCTTCCCATGATGGACTGTGATTCAAGACACATTAGCCAAATAAGCCCTTTCCTTCCCCGCTCCCCAAATAAACTTACTGAACAAGGCAAGAAGGGGGAAATTCAAAGACCTGGAGGGGACAGGAGCTACACAAGGAGAGCAACAGAACTAAAAAATCTGAACACAGGGGTGTTTTCTGAGACTGATACTCCAACTGTGGACCATTCATGGAGGTAACCTAGAACCCCTGCACAGATGTAGCCCATGGCAGCTCAGTGTCCAAGTGAGTTCCATAGTAATGGGAACAGGGGCTATCTCTGACATACACTGATTGGCCTGCTCTTTGATCACCAGCCCCTGACTGGGGAGCAACCTTACTAGGCCACAAAGGAAGACAATGCAGCCACTCCTGATGAGACCTGATAGCCACTCCTGATGAGACCTGATATGGAAGGGAAGGAGATCCTCCCCTATCAGTGGACTTGGGGAGGGGCATAGGTGGAGAAGAGGGAAGGAAGGTGGGGTTGGGAGGGGAAGAGGAAGGGAGCTACAGGTGGGATACAAAGGGAATAAACTGTAATTAATAAAAATAAAAATAAATCAGGTAATATCATCAAAAAAAAAAAAAGAACTAAAAGGGTACATATAGTAAAAGGTCAACTACCCATAATGGTGCATGCCTATAATTCCAGCACTGAGGGAGGCAGAGGCAGGTGGATCTCTGGGAGTTCAAGGCAGGCCTGCTTGACAGAATGAGTTCCTGGACAGCAAAGGACATGCAGAGAAATACTGTCTCAAAAAATAGCAAAAGATCATACTATCACTATTTGCAGATGATGTGATATTATGCATCAGATATGTCAAATGTTCTACCAGAAAACTTCTAGAAATGATGAACACATTCAGCAAGATGGCTGAAAAAGGAGATGATGGAATACAATCTCATTCACAATAGCTTCAAAAAATAAATTATCCAGTAATAGACCTAAACAAGGAGGTGAAGTACCTTTACAATGAAACCTTTACTCTTCTGAAGAAAGAGATAGACAGTAGAAAATGAAAAAACTTCCTATACTCACAGATAGGTAGAATATGAAAATGACCATTTTACTAAAAGCCATTTAAAGATTCAATGCAATCACAATCAAAAGCCCCATCTCGTTTGTCACAGAAATAGAAAAAGTTATTCTGAAATTAATATGGAACCACAAAAAAAAAAAACCCAAAAAGCTAAAAAAAAAAAAAAAAAAAAAAAAAATCCTTAGCAAAATGAACAATGCTAGAGAGATTGCCATTCCAGATCTCAAAATATACTACAGAGCCATAATAATAAAACCATTTATGCTAAAAGCACAGAAACAAACATGTAGACCAATAAAACAAAAGTGAAGACCCAAACATGAATACAGACAACTTCAGCAATTTATTATTTGACAAAGTTGGCAAAAACATATGTTTAAATTTTTTTTCCAAAAAATGATAATGGGAAAACTGGAATTCCACATGCAGAAGAATGAAATTAGACCTGTATCTATCACCTTGCATAAAAATTAACTCCAAATGGATCAAAGACCTAAAGTGAAATCTCCAACACTGAAACTGCTAGAAGATAGGCAATACCTCCACTATATAAGTGTAGGAAAGGACTTTCTGAATAGCATTCCATTTGCCCAAGAATTAAAGCCAACAAGTGACAAGTGGGACTTACAAAAACAAAACGGTTCTAAGTGGCTAAAAAAACCAATCATCTCAGTAAAGAGAAAGCCCACCGAATTGACCAGAGCAAATCTTTGCCACCTGTACATCTGACAGAGGATGAATATCTAGAATATATTTTTTCTTTCTTTTTTAAAATTTATTTTTTATAGGTTACAGTTTATTTGCTTTGTATCCCCACTTTGTATCCCCACTGTATCCCCCAAAAGGGGTCAAAAACACAAATAACCCATTCAAAAAAAAAAAAAAAAAAAGGCAGTTCAGGGATCTGAACAGAGTTCTCAAAGAAGAAAAAAATGGGGTAAAAATCTCAAAAGATGTACATCATCTTCAACAGCTATGGAAATACAAATCAAAACAATTTTGACATTTCATCTTACCCCAGTGAGAGTAGTAAAGATCAACAAAACAACCAACAACAAATAGTGAGGGCTGGAGAAATGGCTCAGTGCTTAAGAGCACTGTCTGCTCTTCCAGAGGTCTTGAGTTCAATTCCCAGCAACCACATGGTGGCTCACAACCATCTACACCCTCTACTGTCCTCTTAGAGCACTAATATGCATTAAATAAATAAATAGATAGATAGATAGATAGATAGATAGATAGATAGATAGATAGATAGATAGATA